CCACTCCAGCCTGGGTGACAGAGTGAGACTCCAACTCAAAAAAAAAAAAAAAAGTCATATCATTTGCATAATCCTATATCTACTGAGCCAAGAGCTCCCTAAGGAGTTTCTTTGTATTTCCAGGGCCTAGAATAGTGTCTAAATATTTGCTGATGATCAATAAGTATGTATTGATTGACTTATAGTCCCTATTTCTTTTTCTTTTTTTTTTTGAGTTGGAGTCTCACTCTGTCGCCCAGGCTGGAGTGCAGTAGCACGCTCATAGCCACCACAGCCTCGACCTGCTGGGCTCAGGCTATCCTTCCACCTTAGCCTTCCAAGTAGCTAAAACTACAGGCATGTGGCATCATACCCGGCTAATTTTTCTTGATTTATTGTAGAGATGAGGTCCCGCCAAGTTGCCCAGGCTAGTCTTGAACCCGTGGGCTCAGGCAATCCTCTCACCTTGGCCCCCCCAAAGTGCTGGGAATATAGGCGTGAGCCACTGTGCTGGCCACGGTCCCTATTTCTCTCAGTGTTTAACTCCATGCATACCAGGCACACAGAACTGTGCAGATTAATTCCCACAAATTAAAACTCTTCCTATTCTTCCACACTGTGTTGAGTCAGCCGTATACTTCTTTAATGGCCTTACAGTTCTGTTTATCATTTTTTTTAAGCGACTGGGTGTTGCTGTCACTCTGTTGTGAAATAGCATTATCATAGCTCACTGCAGCCTCGAACTCCTGAGTTCAAGCAATTCTACCTCAGTCCCTTGAATAGCTGGGATTACAGGTTCAAGCCACTGCACCTGGCTAAGATTTTCTACTTTCCATTTGCCCGTTTAAACTTGTAGCATCTCAAGGACAAATCTTGCTGGTGTTTCAACTTTTTATCCCAAACTCTTCTATTAGCACAGTGTGAATTACTATACAAACCACAGCAAACTCCTCCCCTCCCCCATCATTGGCAGAGGGACAGAAGACATCTCCAGGCTCTCCTTTCCCCAAAGGCAAGCCTGCCCAGAGTACAACTACTGGGATCTTGCTCCTGGGGGCTGGGTTCCCTGGAACACAGCTCCAATCAGGGCCCTGCCAGGATGGGAAACGGGGTTTAATTCTTTAGCCTCTCCCTGGCCTTAGCCTTTGTAAGGCTGCTGACCTGTCCCTAGTCTTTCTGGCAGCCTCTTTCTTTGTCTCTCTTTGTCTCTGCCTGTTTCACTGTGCTGTCTTTTGTTCCTCTGCCTCCAGGCCTGTTTCTCTCCCAGTTTCCCTGCCTCTTTTTCCTCCGACTTTGCTTCAGTGTCTTTATATCTCCTGTTTCTATGTCTCTTTGTCTCTAGCGGCCAATCTTTTGCTCCTGTATTTTTGATCGCCCGCTGTCCCTCAACCTCTCTCTGCTTTTGCCTCCTGACTCAGGGGCTCTTACGTTAGGACTTTATGAGTCTCTGGCTCAGGTCCCCCATTCCGGGTCCCACGTCTGATTCCATCTGTCTGCCTCTCCCCTGCGGCATTT